GGGGGGTGGGAGGATGGGTTAGCCTAGTGATGGGTATTAAAGAGGGCACGTTCTGCATGGAGCACTGGGTGTTATATGCAAACAAGGATTCATGGAACACTACATCAAAAACTAATGATGTAATTTATGGTGATTAACGTAACATAATAAAAAAAAAATCCTAAAGACCACCAAAAAACTACCAGAACTGATATGTGAGTTTAGTAAAGTTGCAGAATGCAAAATCAATATGCACAAATATGCTGCATTTCTAAACATTAAAATGAAGCAACTAAAAGTGAAATTAAGAAAACCATCCCATTTGCAATTGTACCAAACACAATTAAATATCAGGGATAAACTTAACCAAAGTGGTGAAAGACCTGTACTCTGAAAACTATAAAACACTGATGAAAGAAATTCAAGACAACACAAAGAAATGGAAAGATATTCCGTGCTCATGAATTGGAAGGACAAATATTGTTAAAATGTGTATACTACCCAAAGCAATCTATGGATAAAATGAAATCTCTATCAAAATACCAACAGTATTTTTCACAGAACTAGAACACACAATCCTAAAATCTGTATGGAACCTCAAAGGACCCTGATTAGTCAAAACAACCTTGAAAAAGAAAAACCTGGAGGTATCACAATTCCAAACTTCAAGTTATATTGCAAAGCAGTAGTAATTAAAACAGCATGGTACTGGCATAAAAATAGACACAAAGATCAATGGAATAGAACAGAAAACCCACAAATAAATCCACAATTATATGGTCAATTAATCTTTAACATAGGAGGAATGAAGATACATTGGCCAAAAGGTAGTCTTTTCAAAAACTGGTGCTGGGAAAATTGGACAGTCACATGCAAAAGAATGAAACTGGACCATTCTTTCTCACTATACACAAAAATAAACTCAAAATGGGTTAAACCTAAATGTGAGAACTGAAACCATAAAAATCCTTGAGGAGGGCACAGGCAGTAATTTCTCTGACGTTGGCCATAGCAACTTATCTTTCTAGATATATCTCCTGAGACACTGGGAAAAAAATAAAACATAAACTATTGGGACTACATCAAAATAAAGAGTTTCTGCACAGCAAAGGAAACAGTCAACAAAACTAAAAGGCAATCCATGGAATCAGAGAAGACATCTGCAAATGGCATAGCCAATGAAGGGTAGTATCCAAAATATATAAAGAACTGATACAATTCAACTCAAAACATAATCCCATTAAAAAGTGGGCAGAAGACATGAACAGACACTTCTCCAAAGAAAACATAGAGACGGGCAACAGACACATGAAAAGATGCTCAACTGCACTCAGCATCAGGGAAATGCAAATCAAAACTATAATGAATTATCACCTCACACCTGTCAGAATGCTTAAAATAAAAAACACAAGAGATGATGAGTGTTCATGAGGATGTGGAGAAAAACAACACTTGTGCACTCTTGGTGGGAATGCAAACTGGTGCAGCCACTATGGAAAACAGTATGGAGGTTCCTCAAAAAATTAAAAATAGAGCTACCTTATGATCTAACAATTTTACCACTGGTTATTACCCCTAAAATAATACAACAATACTAATTCAAAGGGATTCATGCACCTCTATGTTTATTGCAGCATTAGTATTATTTACAAGAGCCAAACTATGGAAGCAGCCCAAATGTTCACCCATGGATGGATGGATAAGAAGATATGAGATTATATATATATATATAATCATATATAATGCAACATTATTCAGCCATAAAAAAAGAATGAAATCTTGCCATTTGCAACAACATGGATCGACCTGGAGACTATGATGCTAAGTGAAATAAATCAGACAGAGAAACAAGTACCATATGATTTCACTCATATGTGGAATTTAAGCAGCAAAACAAATGAACAAAGGAGAAAAAAGAGAGAGACAAACCAAGAAACAGCCTCTTAATTATAGAGAATAAACTGATGGTTGTCAGAGGGGAGGTGGGTGGGGATATGGATGAAAAATAAATCAAAGTAGTCCAGAGCTGCCCCAAACCTGAAGGGTGGAGCATCCTAAAACTGGCCATCACTCTGCTCCTCCAGTGGCTGACAGCTTAGCCTGTAACATACTACCATGAATAGTAGGCCCCCGAGATTGAAAGGAAATGTGACTTTGTGAATAGAGTGTGGGCTCTGGAGTCAGAAACTCTGCTGGTTGTTGGCTGGGTGACTTCAGATGTCTCAGTCTTAAAGGGTTTCATTGTAAATATTACTAAGGATTAAATAAGTTTGTACATGTAAAGTATGTATCTACTACAAAGACTTATAGTTATAAAAAAAACGATAAGGTTTTATTACTCCCCTGGTTCTCCACAGTGGCTTGAAATCCCATTCACTGGCTCTTTTTTCCTAGCACCACAGACCTCTTGACTTTTCCTTACTATCTAACCCCAACATCTGGGCTTCACTGGTTGATCCTCCATGTGTTTCAAGGCCCTCCTTTTAAATAGATCTAGGTATTTTTCTCATTTCTAATTATTAAACATTTATTAAGTGCCTATTCCATAGGATGTTCTCTGCCTCAAGAGTTACAAGGATGAAGGAAATACAGTCTCTGGCCTCAAAATCTCTGGAAAATTAGAACTTATTCCAGAGTCCAGATACAGTAAATTCCCTTCCAAATTCATAAGTTTAAAGTCCTCTAACATATTCTGAAATCTTCCCAGTCTCTTGGTCCTCCTCTTCCTTTCTTCTTGCCTCTCTAAAGTTCCAGTTCTTTGTTATGACATAGATTCTGGAATCTTCATAGGCCACACTCCTGTAGTCTGCTTAGGTCTGATCAACCTAAGTCACACAGTTCCTCGGCAACCCTCTGCATGCTTGTCTACAAGGGCGTCCCCCACATTCAAGTTCATACTGCTCAGAAACAGTGATCTTGGAGTGTTCCTTTTATCTTGATCTCCCTCTTACAAAAGAAATCCAGATGACACAGAATCCACTGAAGACAATACCTGGAAAATGGCAGTCTTGGGTATGGACTGACTCCCTCTCTAAGGCCTCCCTGACCCTACTGACTCAGAAGTCTTCTCTTCAGAGACTTTAACACACTGCTTTATCTTACTTGCCTGCTTTCTTTCAAATTCAATATCCTTTCTTTCACTCTCATTGATTCCCCTGGAGGCCTGGGGAAAACAACCCACAATCAACTAAACTCCAGCATAAGAATACTGATTCTCCTTTGGTTTCAGGAGTTTGAACTACTAAAAGAAAATAACCATCCTCTGGAATAATAGGAAAATTCCTTAGCCTGTTATCTCACTTCTGGTAATACTACTCACTTTATAATCTGCATCAAAACTTCCTCTTATTTTCCTCATAAATGGAGTTGATCTTCTTCTGTCCAATAGCCAGAGCATTTCAGACACTACACTACCCAAAGGGAGTACCAGAGGCTTGCTCCAAGTACTCCACCTTGTTATCCCTTTCTCCCCTAAGGATTACTTCATACCAGTTATGAAATTCTGACTTGCATAAAAGATTCCAAACTATTTACTATTCATTTTAGTGGTCCATTAGGAGCAAATCTCTGAAGGTTGTTTTTTTGGGAAAATTTTCTCATATGATCTAACACCTGAAAGATTTGGTTGACATTTGCCCAATGTTCCCTGATTGGAGGTGTGTCATTACATGTTGAGATGAATTCATCTATTGCTTTCCTGCAGCAGCCTTGATCTTAGTGTAATTAATTTGCTTAGCCCTTCAGAGTCAGTTGTCTTCAGCATTTTTTACTGTCACAGGCAGATTTCTGATTCCTTTGTTCATTCATTCATTCCTCCCTTCCTCCTCCTTCCCTTCCTACCTCTTTTCTTTTTCTTTCTCTTTCTCCCTTCCTTCCTCCACTCCACTCCTTCCTTCCTTCCTTCCTTCTGCTTGCCTGCCTGCCTTTCTTCTCCCAAAGGCTCCTTAGTCTCAGTTCTTCATAACCATAGCAAGATATCTAATTAAGATATGTCTCTCGAATTATACATAAACAGATATAGGTTAGGCAGTTTCAGCATTCTTTCTCCTATTAATCAAAGTAACAGTCATCACAACTGTCTTATCATGAGGGGCTTTGTGGATGATGACTACAAGGTCTTTCCCAATGATAAGCAATTTATGCCATCTGCTGTGGTTTTCATTAATATGACCACCTTCAGTCAGGGGCCTCTAAAAGTTTTGATTGCTCACCCATGTAAAAATTTTTGCACACACATTATGTATGTGTGTATATCACACACACATTCCAAATATATATAATAAACATACTACTGTAATAATATATATTTCAAAACAGAAAATCTAGAATTTTAAAGTTGTAATACAAAATTACATAAAAATAGAACTAATATTTTTTTTTCTCACACACCAGTGGATTGCTTTGCATATCACTGAATCCCTCTAGCCTTTTGCCTGCAGAGATTAAAGGATTCAATTGAGGAGGAAATTTGTCACATTTTCCACTCTAAATCAAGAGTGCACAGCAATTGAAGTTCTTAGTATCTGACCAAAAGGACCAACATAAAAAATGGGCAGGGGAAGGAATGTGGAGAAAATAAATGGGGAAGATAAAGGAAGAACGGAGTTCAGGTAGCAGAAAACAGGGGCAGAGGAGATACGTCTATTTGGTGAAAACAGAAAAGAGGTGACCAGAAGTTGTCTCTGATAATGGCCAGGTCTAAATAAGCAGGCCTACAGGTGAGGTTTTGTTGCAGAAATAACTTTGGCTGTCATCCTGACTCTACTGGGACTTGCCATTCTGGCTATTTTATTAACAAGATGGACACGGCGCAAGCAAAATGGTGAGTAACAAGTCAAAATGGAAATTCCCTGGGAAAGTCATAGTGGAAGTGATGCCAAGATTCAGTTTCAGTTTGTTTCTACTTATTAGATAACTAGAGACTTTGCCAGTATTCTGAGAATCCATTTCAAAACATGAATAAAAGAGTCTTTGACCTACTAGTGATTTCCCCTGCATTTTTAAACTCCCAAAACTCACATTACCAATAATGTCAACCCCCCAAAAAAGCAGATTGAGTTTAAAAATAGTAATAACGAGAATACTCTAAAATTATCTGAGTTCCAAGGGAAATTATTTAAGGAATAAAATGGAAAAGAAAAGATACTGTGCTAGTAGACACCACTAGTTAGTATTATATCAAAAGAATTCAAGAATTTTAGTGACTTAATACTACAGAGATGATAAGAAGAAACAAATATAGAATAGTATTTATCAGTGAAACAGAGATGGGGCTCTTGTAGGCAATGACTTATTTCCATGCCAAAAGGTCTCTCTTTCCAGGATTTTCTTCAGTATCTTCCCCACTCCCTTCTAGTCAGCTGCATCCCCCCCACGGACTGTCTTTCTCATCTCAGCACCTATGAGCCCTCAGAGAATAAGTGTGGAGGAACAGGTAGAACTGAGCTGGCTGCAGGTGCTGGAAAAAGGTAGGAACTGTTAATACATCGTATCAAGAGGGCCACTTTGGGAGCACAGAAGCACAGTTTAGAGCGAGGAGAGGTGGGTCAGGAGGAAGAACATCTCTCACAAGTAACTAATAGTAATATTTTTGTTTGATTCTTCCACAGAAATTGATGTCTCAAGATACAGTTCAGAACAAAGTAAGTACTTAGACCCAGGAGGAAAGGAAAAGTAGAAAGCATAATGGAATTTCCATACATCAGGGACCAAGTCTGTCTTGTTTACCATTGTATGCATAATGCATCATTCCATGAACAGAACTTCTAATTTACTGGGAGAAATCCACTGGAGATTTCTTTGCAACACGGAGTGCCAAACTGAAATTGGGCAGAATAAATTAATAGGGGGTAGGTCTGCATGATTCTGAGGTTCTCTTCAGATGCCTCCTGTGGAGCAGCAACAGGAATACCAAGTCATGAAAACAGCAGACTCCTTGGGCAGTGGAATAGAAGGTCTATTTCTGGTAGTGAAGAGGGCCTCAGCAAGGTGGCTGGGTAGAAGAATTGAATGTAGCAGGAATAATAAAAGAGTAAACACAACTAAGATGATTATGATTGAGAAGAGCACCAAGTTCAAGATGTGAAGATGTGAAGCAGATTTTCCATGGCAATGTCTAGTGAGATGCCAGAATTGCTGAAAGATAGCCCAGGATTAGTAAGAGAAGGAAAACAGGAGCTAAGTGCTGGAGCACCAAGAAGGAAAAGCAATTTGAGGCCCCTCCTGATTACTATTTAGTCTAGTGAAACTGGTGACTGGCACAGTCACTCATCATCTGCTCCAGCTATGCAGTCCCTAGTTCCTGCAATGTAAATTAATTCCCGTCATCATTCATTTTGGGGGGGGTTATCTCTACTTTAGCTCTCAGAGTCTTAAAGTCCCACTCCTTTTCAAGAAGCAAAACCATGAAGCACTCTCTCCTTTTTACTCCAGGTGCTGGTCTTCTGGACTATGAGGATGGTAGAGGTAAATAGATTAGGAACTACTACAGAATTAATGGAGGGATGTGTTCTTTAGAGAACAAAATAAACTCATCTCCCTTTGAGCACAATTTGTTAGGTCAGCACACCTTTTACTGTTGTAATATCCAACTGCCAATCCATCTTTATATATATATATGTGTGTGTGTGTGTGTGTGTGTGTGTGTGTATACACATGATTTTGCATTTTTCTCAGAAAAGGCAAGTATGTCCCCTTCCTAAGACATCAAAAAAATTATTTCCAACTCCTGTTTATACCAGGATCTTGGAAAGGCTAAGAAACCTCTCTGAACAATTTCCTAGATATGTAAAATAGGGATAAAGAACATAATTCATGGGTTGTCATGAAGACTGCATAATATACATGAAAAGACACAGTAAGCTATAAAGCACAATAGATGAACACAACTTATATTATTATCTTCATTTTAGAAGATGAAATTGATATTCAAAAGTTTAAGAGACCCAAATTCACCTAGCAAAAAAAGGAGTTGGATAGTAAATCCAGGTTTGTGGCCCCAAGTTCAATACTCATATTCTCACATGACACTATCCCCACTTGGTTAAGACAAAAAAGGCTCATTTTAAACTGAATTTCAGTATTTATTATTAGTATTAGTAATATTAGTCTAATTAATTGATTAATATTAATCAAATCAGGACATGTAATCTGACGATGCAAAAATAATAATAAAGATTATTTGAAATAAAACATCCAGAAATCTAATGGTTCTAAGTAGATTCCAAGACACCCTACTTTTTTATAAGGACACACACATGCACACACACACACACACACACACACACTCTACAAGCATAAAGATTCATATTTCCAAAAGGAGAGAGGAGACATCTTGATCAGTCTGCTTGCTGTCATGCCCCACACTTGGCCTCTTGGTCCATGCCTCCTCCTCTTACTTCTGTGATTCATCTGTCATGAACAACAGAGTGAGGAACCATGGCATCCTCTCTTCCTTTCCTGAAATGGAATCCAGAGGAAATGGGAACATCTAGGAAAGGAGAAACATCTAGGAAAGGAGAAAATTCCTACTATTTGGATTTAGACATATGATGAAATATTTCTTGATGAGCTTTTAGTAAACTTAATCTGTTTTTTTTTCCCCAAAAAGATGTTCCCTCTCAGAGATCTAAAAGAGGAAGAGGTAAACAGATTTTCACCTAGTAAGAAAATAATGTAGACATAGTTGTCAAGGTAGAATCTCATTATGTTTTCATCTTGTCTTTTAGGATTCCGGCATTTGTATTCAACAGAAAGTGGTAAATAAATTAGATATTGTTTGTTAAGAAATTAATACAGACATCTATTTATGAGAAATTAAGAATCTTATGTTTTTCCCTCAATCCTTTAGACACTTCATATGATGAACAAGGTAAGTATATTTAGAGATTATGGTAAAATTAAAGGAAAATCAATGTTTTTTTCCTGTTATAAAATGAGGGGCTGTAAAACCTAGGTAAAAAGACAGGAAACCAAAGTAATGTATAGAGGATTCTGAGAAGTATTCAGAAATGTTCACCTTCACACCATGAGGTATCTTTCCCCCCAGTACTACCCAATTCCTCTTTTATCCACCTCCAGTTGACTAAAAATAATCTGAATACTTAAGAAAAATTTAATATCCCAGAAAGGAATATTAGCTACTCAGTGTGCCTTTTTAATATAAATGTTAAGAAATGGAGGAATAAATCCCCAAAAATTCATCACATTAAGGTTTGACTTGTGCACTGAAATTCCAAGAGCCCAAGGAAGGGCTGCTCTTGTCTACTGTTGTCATTTACATTCATGTTTCTTGGGAAACAAACCTCCTCAGAATAGTTAATCATCACAATACTACATTAAATCAGTGCAAGAAGCTACCCAAATGTGAGAAATATAAGGGTACACAGATAAGTGAAATGCAACTATAAACAAAGGGGGAGAATTAACACGCATTCAGTACCTCCTATGTGCTGGCCACTCTTGTGGACATTTTTTATTTTATTTTAATATCTACAAATGACCCTGTGAACCACAAAGAATGAAGCCCCTGTGGCTGCTCAAGGTCTCTACAGGTTGCTTTAGTGCAAATTAGAGAGAATGTTCCTTTCTCTAGTCAGATGCAGCCTCACTCAAGGACACTGCTGGGATTTCAGTCCCCAAATCCCTCTGTGCAGTGAACAACCTATGCAACCATAATATAGTGGTCCTGAAGATATAGGAGGGGTATCTCACTCTTAACATGTCCAAAACCCAAGTCCTGACCCTGTCACATACAGGTACCGGCACCAGCATTCCCTCAATTGCTCAGGCCATCTACCTCTTTAACTTCTTTCTCTCACTCACCTCAGACAATCCACCAGCAAATCCCATCCCCATTACTTTCTCATTATATTTCAAATTAGATCACTTCTCACCATGATGACAATCTTAGCCCAAGCATCAACATCTCTTGCCTCAACTACTTCAGCTGACCCCTAACTGGTTTCTTTCTACTCTTGCCCTCTTATAGTCTATTTTCCTCATCAGTAAGGGTACTCCTTAACAAGCAGTTCTTAAATCAATTAACTTACTATACATTGTTATCCCTAATTTGCTATCCCTAATAAGAAAAATGTTAATGACTTGCCCAAAGCCACAGGGCTTGCAAGTGACTCAACCTGATAGAAATATAGAGTTGTCTGACTTTAGATTTCATGTACCTTATTTTTACACAATTTAGTAATATCTTACTAATTTCCTGCTATGGATCTTTAGTGTAGAGTCTACAATCTTAGCTTCTTTCTATTCCAGGCTACCTTTGCATTCTTAGGGAAAACTTGGATCAGTAAGCATTTTATTGTGGTCTAAATAAACCATAATTTAAAATTCATAATGCCAAATGACAACTTATTTCTTTGATTTCCCAATCACTCTAAGGTGGCCCTATGAAGCTCAATCATCTTGTTTCTAAGGTCCCAAGCTCTACCAGTCTGCCCTCTATCACTTCTGGACATGGAAATATAAATTTGCTGGTCAGCTAGAGACTAGAAAAATCTTCTGACAGGAAAATATTGGGCAAAGTCATTATATCAGGTTAGGTGCATGAAATTTAGTACTTAAATTTTGATATTTAAATATATCACAAGTTATATTTTAAAGTTGTCATGATAATTCAAAATTTTGAAATGCACTGAATTTATTTTTAATGTTACTAAGTTTTACAGCAAATGTCAATGAGGCGCATGAAAATGTTCAGCACCCTTGGTTTTTTTCTGTTTTCAAAATATCTACAGAACCAGGAGAAACAAGTAATAATAGTGTAAACCAGAAGGTTTTGTGTGTCTTGGACTTAATGCCATCACAATAACACCCAAGTATGGCAGGAAAACATTCATTTTCAGAGGAAAAAAAACACATTGTCATTACATTTCCAGGTAGATCTTTACTTATACTTTAGTAAAATACCAAATTAAACAATTATGCAACATAATTTGTCATTTCCAGACTGTTAATATTATTTATTTTTACACTTTCATGAAAACAATAGTGATAGCATGAGGAGTTTTCATGTAATTTGCTTTGTCTGTCTCCAGATCTTTTAGACAATGTTTCCACGACATTACTAAGTGATAAGTTTTAGGTTATAGGATGCACATCCAATCACAATATATATGTGTGTGTGTGTATTCATTATAATTTGCCATCTCTTCATTAAACTTGAACTCTCAATAAGTTGAGTAAATATTTTGACATTTTTTTTCTTATTTGACCTCAACTTATTTTATAACTAATATGTTCTTCTGTTTCAGCGTTTCTTTCCATGTATAGTTTATTATCTCTTCTCACTACATATTTACCTTTATTAACCTTCACCTGCTTTTTCATGTCATTTGACTCATAAATTAAGTCATGAGAAGATTTTGCCTTTAGGTTCTTGCCTACTTGGATATTTGAGGGCATTGATTGGGTAATTCTCTGTAATGATATTGAAACTACAGAAATAGAAAATCCAAACTGATTTTTCTTGGTTTCATTTGTGTTTTTAGAGGGATCCAAAGGAGATTACAGTAAGTATTCTCTTGTTTTTCAACAAAAATTTACTTCCCATTAGTAACATTTCCCTATATTGTAAATGCTTTGAGAAAAGAGAAATGCCATCAGTTCATATGAATACTAAGTAATAGATAAAGTCTCCTAGTGCTGATTTAGGATAGTCCATCATTAACAAACTGTCAGTTTCTAAACTTGGTCTGCTGGTTTCCAAACTGACTGAGAGGAAAGGAAAAAAAAAAAAAAGAGGAAATGATGAGTGACAGAAAAGGGCAGTGATGGAAATAAAGGAGGAGAAGAGGAAAGGAGAGGAAAGGAAAGCAGTGGGGAAGGGATGAGGACAGAGAAATGTAAGCCACAAATTTTCATAGGTATAGCATCTGTCTAGTAAAAGCTGAAATCCTTTATGGAGATGGAAGGGATGGATTTGGTGGGAGTGGCCTCCGGTCCCACCACTGGGTCAGTAGGTCTCCCTGGGACTGGGCTGCAACTCCTGAGAGGGGGTCACAGTGATTGATATGCAAGGTCAATGATCCAAATTCTGATGACTCACCTCATGTTTCTGTGTGTGTGTTTTAGCACCATCAGTCAACTCCCTAGGTAAGTTCCTTGTGGCTTTTCTACTATCATCTGGTTTGTACGTCCTGTAGTTTCTGTATGTTTTTTTTCTTTTTCTATATCTTAAAAGAAGTTTTTAAACTAAAGTACAAAAGTAATTGACCCTTGTAAATCCGTACCCTAGATTTGACAACTGATATTTTGTCATATTTCTCAAGTGACGGATAATATAGAAATCCCTTTTATCCCCATCCCTACACACATTCCACTCTCCCCATTTCCCAAACTCTCACAAATATACCATAAATCTTATGTTTATTTTTGTCTATTTATATAATCTTTATGTATCACTGAACAATAATATTGTTTTGTATATATTTGTTTAAAAACTTTACTAAAATGACATCATTCTGAAAGTATCATTACGACTTGCTTTTTTCCCCAAAAATATTGTAATATTGAAAACATACAGAAATCCAGGTTATACATTTTAATTGTTAAATAAATATCCCAACTTACAAACATATTTTTCCTATTCTTTCTCCTATTGATGTGTTCTCAATGTGTTCAATTTCAGCTATCATAAATAATGCTGCAAAATGTTCTTAAATAATTTGAAAAATAGTTTATCCTGGGTACACACGCTGAAATGGGATCAATGAATCTCAGTGTGCATGAACATTTATGTAACTTAAGCACATTTTTACTTTACTAGTTGTTGTTTAATTGAATTCCACATAGGAGGCACTCCAAAATCTGTAAAAGTTTCCCATTTCTCTGCAACAGTAACAACCCCAGTTTTGTCATATTTTCACCTTACTGCCACTTGGATAAGTGTAAAATTTTTAATTTGCATTTTCCTGCTAACTCCTGAAACTGAGTATCTTATATGTTTACTACCTACTTAGGATTCACCTTATACAAATTGTTCATTTAGTTTACCCATTTGCCCATTAGGTTATTGATTTGTAGAAATTCTTTATAACTATGAAAGCTAATCTTTTATATTTTGTTAAATATTTGCAAATATCTTCTCCAATACTATCTCTTACTTTTTTTTTAATTTTATTATGTTATGTTAGTCCACCATACAATACAACATTAGTTTTTGATGTAGTGATCCACGATCCATTGTTTTCGTATAACATCCAGTGCTCCATGCAATACGTGCCCTCCTTAATAACCATCACTGGGCTAACCCATCCCCCCAGGCCCCTCCCCTCTAGAACCCTCAGTTTGTTTCCAGAGTCCATAGTCTCTCATGGTTCATCTCTCCCTCTGATTTCCCTCCCTTCATTTTTCCCTTCCTTCTCCTAATGTCCTCCATGCTATTCCTTATGTTCCACAAATAAGTGAAACCATATGATAATCGACTTTCTCTGCTTGACTTATTTCACTTAGCATAATCTCCTCCAGTCCCATCCATGTTGATGTAAAAGTTGGGTATTCATCCTTTCTGATGGCTGAGTAATATTCCATTGTATATATGGACCACATCTTCTTTATCCATTCATTGGTTGAAGGGCATCTCGGCTCTTTCCACAGTTTGGCTATTGCAGACATTGCTGCTATGAACATTGGGGTGCATATGGCCTTTCTTTTCACTACATCTCTGTCTTTGGGGTAAATACCCAGGAGTGCAATTGCTGAGTCATAGGGTAACTCTATTTTTAAATTTTTGAGGAACACCACTGTTTTCCAAAGTGGCTGTACCAACTTGCATTCCCACCAACAGTGTAAGAGGGTTCCCCTTTCTCCACAACCTCTCCAACATTTGTTGTTTCTTGCCCTGTCCATTTTTGC